GTTGTTGCCATTGGAGGGCGCGACCTCTGTGAGCTCCGTGGCCCAAGAGGGCTGCCCGGCGGGTCCCACTCGGCAGGCGGCAGAGCATACCAGTCACGGGCCAGTCAAGGCCAAGGGTGCAGTCCCCTCCCATGAGTCTTTACAAACTTGTCCTCTAAAGAGGGCCCTGGCCAAAGGCCTTGGGAGCAACCCGGTTATAAGTGGCTGAGGGCTCACCCTGGCATTTTGCTCACCCTGATGGCGTACTTTGAGGGATTCGCCAGTGTTTGAGCTTCTCGTTTGTTCCCTGCTGAGAGTGGACAGGGCAGGAAGCCCAGGCTGGTGTGAATGGTCTTGGAGGCAAGGCAGGCAGAGCTTGAAGAGGGAGCCAAGAGGCCATGGAGAGAGATCAGTGCAGGTGGCTTCCCAAAAAGCTGGTGAAAGCAAGACCTGTTTGACTCCTTCCAAAGTCATAACTACTGACTTGTCAGCCTTTCTCTTTGTGGGTGTTTTTCCCTCCTGATCTCCAGGGGCACGTAAACTCTTTGGGCTTACTCTTAGTTGAGAAAAGGACTTTTTCCAAAAGACTTTAAGATTCTGCCCTTGGGCAGCCGAACAGGGAAACACACATGTGTATATGTGTGTGTGGTTCATGCATTTCATCGCACAGATCTGTCAGTAAGTGTCACCTCTCTCTTTTTTCTTCCCTCTTTCTGGTTCCAGACACATCCGCGTCTATTTGCCACCGATCGACTCTGGCACCCCGAACACTTACTGCTCTAAGGCTCTGGAATTCCAGGCCCCCCTGGTATTTAATGAAATTTTCAGAATCCCTGTGCATTCAAGCATGTTGACGTTGAAGTCACTTCAGTTATATGTATGTTCAGTGAGTCAGCAGCTGCAGGAAGAACTGCTGGTATGTCCCTCCCCCTCCCTCCCTCCCCCCCATTTCCTTTCTGCTCTCCTGCCCCCTTCCTTTCTTTGTGTTCCCGTCAGTCTTTGTCTCTCTCCTTTCTCTTCTCTTCTTGTCTTCCTGCCTTTTTTTTTTTTTTTTCTCTTTCATCCTTTCTTCTTGCTCCGTCTTTTGTCCTCACTTTCTTTGTTTTTGTCTTTATCTTTCCGCCTCTCTCTCTTCTTTGTCTCGGTCTCTCCCTCCCCTCATTCCTGCCTGTCTCCTTCCTGCCTTTTTCCTGTGCTGGGTTGCTTCGACATTGTCATCATGTGAAGCGCTCTTTGTAGCTGAGAGTACAGAAAGGGCCTTGTCTGGCCAAGTACGGTGTACTTTAAACACATTGTTTCAGCTAATACTTGCAACACTTCTCTATCGCCCTATATTGCTTCCAGTTGAGGGAACTAAGTGGGGTTGAAAAATTGGGCAAATAAAAATGGAGGATGGTCAGTTAAATGTGAATTTCAAATAAACTATGGATTCTTTTTTAATATAAGTGTGTCCCATGCAATATTTGGGACATACTTAATGCTTTGAAGAAATCCATTGTTTATTTGCAGTTCACGTTTACTGGCTGCTCGGTATTTTATCTGGTCCTCCTTGAACTAAGAGCATGAGCGGCTTGTGTTCAGTGCCCCAACCACGCACGCACTGGCCGGGGCCATGACTTGGAAACCAGGATGGTTTCTTTGTGAGGTTGGAATTTCTCCCCTTGGTCTCACACCTGGCAGTAGAATTAGATGGCGGCGTTCAGCCAGCCCTGTCTTGTTTCAGAAATCCCTGAGTGACTGCACAGCTCATCAGTGGGCGCAGACCCGGAGCCTGACCCCCCCCCCTCCTCCAGGTTGTCCACTCTCTGCCCCTGTCCCCCTCCTGGCACCTCCCCATGGGGCCGAAGCAGTGGGCCGGGAGCCTCCCTCAAGAAGATCCTCTGCTACCACTTTCATTTTACTGCAGTCCTTTGAAGAACAATGACGCATTCTGCCTTTCCGGTTACAACTGAAGGGCGATGTCGATGTTTTACAAGATTCCCCTTGGTTGTTAAGGTGAAATCATTCAGTTCTGCCTTTTTTTCCCCCTAAACACTTGTGCAGGGCATTGCTCAGATCAACCTGGCCGACTACGACGGGTCCAGCGAAATGCAGCTGCGCTGGTACGCGGTGCAGGTGTTCAGCAGCTGCGGGCCGCCCAGGGTGAGGGAGAGCGAGCGGGCGGGGGGTGCCGCCGGGGACCCCGCACAAGCCGCCGCCGCCGCCGCCGCGGGAAAGACGGTACGTGTGCCCGCCTCTCGCACCGCTGAGTGCCGCTGCTCTCCCGCCGCCGCCACCCGCTGTCCCGGGGCTTCGTCTCTCACGAGCGTCTCTGCACACTTAGTGTGGGAGCGTAGCGGTGCCCAAGAGGCAGGTTCAAGGGAAGGCACGGGAGCGGGAGGTTTCGATATATATATGGCCGTCCGTGATGGTGGCTTTAATGCAGACGAGCTAGTGATTGGGAGCGACACACGGGTGGTTTTAAAATTGGCGCCCTCAGAGCCGCACGAGGTGGCCCGGCATGCGGCATGCGCTTCTTGGCCCTGGAGAGCCCGCGAGGGCGGCCAGCCACGGCTCAGGAGCGCCCCTGTCCCCCCCTGCAGGACGCGGTGACGGCGCTGCTGGCCAGAACCACCGCCCAGCTGCAGGCCGTGGAGCGCGAGCTGGCCGAGGAGCGGGTGAAGCTGGAGTACACGCAGGACGAGGTCCTCGAGATGGAGCGGAAGGAGGAGCTCGCCGAGGCCGTGTCCGAGAGGTACCCGAAGCGGCCCGTCGGCCAAGCCTGTGCTCAGTAGAGGCCGCCCTGCAGCAGCGGCGGCATAGAGGAGATGGGCGAGCGCCTCGAGGGAACGGACTTCTGTCTGATCCCTTCTGGAGGCACCGTGGTACTGCTTTACTTCCACGTTTTTCCACGGAGAGCGCCCTGTTTCCAAAGCTTCCTGCTGCTTCTGAATACCTTTGCCTGAATTTACTGCAGGGAGGGCAAGGGCATGGCCGAGGGGTGGAGTATGGTATTCAGGGACTGGCGGGAAGCCGGGCGGGGCTGGGAGCCAGCGCTCGGGATGCTGGCCTCTTCAGCAGCTGCAGTTGGCTGGTAGAGACACACAGACCGTCTTACTGAAGGCCCTGTCACGTGGTGTCCCCTAGAAAACAGGCCCTTTGACTGGATGGGAGGAGCGCCTGTGTGCGATCGTTGGCAGCACGTGGGTCTCGTTGGGTGCGTCCGCGGCCGTGCGTGGCGTGTGGCAGGGCACCTGGTTCCGTGATGCGCGCTTTGTTTTTTTCAGTTTTGTAAGAAACAGAATATTTTATTTTTGTGACACTGTAGTTCTGGAGAGGGGTTTTGACCAAATTCAGTGGAGGGTAGGCAGAACGTTTTATGCACGGGAGGAGGAGGAAAGGGAAGGATCCACAAAATGCAAAACAAACACGAAATCCTGGAGAGCTGTTAGCATCAGTTCCCACTACACTCTAGTTCAGTTCAGTGGAGAATTCCTGATAAAGAACAGAAGGCAGGGTGGACTGGGGAAGTTGGGGAAGAGAAGAGGAAGGGAAAGGCGGCCACCTGGACACACGTGTTGTGGGCTTTTGCACTGTCTGCCTTTAGGAGTTGGCAAGCCGACTCGGTGGATAGCGGCTGCAGCAGCTGCGCCCAGACCAGCCCCCCACACCCGGAGCCCTGCTGCGTTGGCGTCGACCCCCTCCATGGACATGCATTTGCTGGCCAGGCCGATCCTTACAGCCCCGAGAAACTTCAGCCTCCACCTCTGAAGGTAAGTGGAAACGGTCAGGGGACTTCCGGGGCCCCCTGATGTTCTGCTGCCCAACCCCGGGCACGGCCTTGGAAGGAGGGCGTGTGCACCCCCCACGTGAAACAGGAGGGGATGGGTGGACGAGATGGACGAGATGAAGCTGACAGGCTCCAGTGTGAGAGTAGAACGCTGTGGCTTACCTGCAGACACTCCCCGTGACAGCGGCCGTGGCGACGCTGTGGTGTGAAACGGACCCTGCCGTTGGATCGGGGGGCCATAGACAAGGGGGCATTTCATGGAGAGCCGAGGGAAAGAAGGGAAGGGCTGAATCTGTAAATGGCTCAAAATGGGCACAGCAGGTACCATAGACCTGTCTCTCCACTCTCAATTGAAAAGAAAGGACAGCTAGAGCCGGAAAGGGCAGATTGGTACTCCGCGTTTCCTGGTGATGGCCCGTTCCCATCTTCAGGGTCCCACACGGCTCAGGAGGTCTCATGTGTGATCGCTTGGAAGTGTCTCATCTCTTTGCTCCCTTTGCGACATTAGGCGCTACAAAGTGCCCCTTCGCCCCTTCTGTTCACCCAATCTTAGCTGTGCTCACAGCCACATCTTCAGCGAGGAAGCCTTTCATGTTTGCCGTGACGGAGTCTGAGGAAGCCTGTGAGGTTGGGAGCCACTGAATCCGTGCTCTGTGGAAAAGTTTTTTCCCCAAACTGTTCAACTCCTCGAAACGTTTTATCACCATGGGCCCCACTGTCACCCCAAAGCACAAGTCCCGAGAGACGTGGTATCAGCCTCCCAAGCTGTACACGTGCGTGCGAGCCCTCTAGAGAAGCTGTTCTGTGGCCCAGCCTCCCAGTGGTTGCTGGTGGTCAGCGTTTTAAGACCTTTAAAAGCATGGGCTCAAACGGGGGAAGGGGCTGTGGGAGGCAAGTTTGGTGTGTGTTGTTGTCATCCCCACCCCCAACCCCGATTTTAAGTTTGAAATACTTCAAATCTACAGACAAGTTGCTAGAGTAATAGAACAAATACCCACATGCCCTTCACCGGAGCTCCCCAGCTGTTCGTTCTTGACCACGTTTGTGTTCTCTCTCTGCGTGCGCACGTGGGTAGGCGCTAGGCCGTGCGGATGCACTGGTGAAGAAAATAAATGGGAAATCCTGCCCTGCAGGGCGAGGCGGGCAACAGCATCACTCGGGAACACACAGCAGGCTTGAGAAGAGGGGCTGCTGGAGGACTAGATGGTAGGGAAGGTGGGGTTTGTGTTTTTAGAAGGATTTCCTATTTTATTTTATTTTATTATTATTATTTTTTAAAGATTTATTTATTTGAGAGCGAGAATGAGAGAGAGAGAGAGAGAGAGAGAGAGTACATGAGAGGGGGGAGGATTAGAGGGAGAAGCAGGCTCCTCACTGAGCAGGGAGCCCGATGCGGGACTCGATCCTGGGACTCCAGGATCATGACCTGAGCTGAAGGGTCGCTTAACCAACTGAGCCACCCAGGCGCCCAAGATTTCCTCTTTTAGAAGGGGTTTATATTTAGAGATCTAGATTTGCACTTAATATTTTAGATTGGGGGGCGCCTGGGTGGCTCAGTCGTTAAGCGTCTGCCTTCGGCTCAGGTCATGATCCCGGGGTCCTGGGATCGAGGCCCGCATCGGGCTCCCTGCTCCGCAGGAAGCCTGCTTCTCCCTCTCCCACTCCCCCTGCTTGTGTTCCCTCTCTCGCTGTGTCTCTCTCTGTCAAATAAATAAATAAAATCTTTAAAAAAAAAAAAAAATTTTTAGATTGGGATTGTAAAACGGTGCAGCCTCTGTGGATAACAGCATGGAGGTTCCTCAAAAATTTAAAAATAGAACTGCTGTATGATTCAGCAATCCCACTTCTGGATATATATCCAAAGGAATTGACATCAGGGTCTCCAAGAGATATTTGCACGCCCATGTTCCTGGCAGCATTATTCAGGATAGCCTAGAGGTAGAAGCACCCCGAGAGTCCGTCGTCGGATGAATGGATAAGGAAAGGTCGTCTGTCCATACAGTGGAATACCATTCAGCCTTAAAAAAGAAGGAAATGCTCTTATATTCTACAACATCGGCAAACCTTAAAGACGCTGTGCTAAGTGAAATAAGCCAGCCACGGAAGGGTGAATACTGTGTGATTCCACATACAGGAGGTCGCTAGAGTATTCGGATTCATATGGACAGCAAGTACAAGGGTGGTCGCTAGGGGACAGGAGCTTGGGGAGTTGTTTCATGGGCTCAGAGTCAGTTTGGGAAGATGAAAAAGTGCTAGAGCTCTGTTTCCCCACCATGTGAATATATTGAACACTACTGAACGATACACTGAGAAATGGTTAAGGTAAATTTTACGTGTTTTCTACAATAAAAAAGAATGAAAGGTCGTGGAAGCCTCACTGAGAAGGCAGTTTTTGAGCAGAAGCCTTAAGGCAGGAGTCTCAGGAGCCTTGTGCGGGGCTGGGGAAGAGCGTTCAGGTACGGGGAGCTGCAAGTGCAGACCCACGGGTGGGGGTGTGGGGGACTGACGAGAGAACAGCAGCGAGACCATTATGGGGCGGGGGGTTGTCAGAGCCAACGACAGAGGGAAGGGAAAAGACCAGATCATGTAGGGCCCGCTCCAGGCTCTCCCTTTTCTCTGAGATGATTGGGAAAGTGGTGGGTGGTTTTGAGCCCAGGGTTGATGTGATCTGACTTAAGGTTTTCTGTGGATTTTTCTTTCTTTCTTTCCTTTTTTCTTTTCTTTTCTTTTCTTTTCTTTTCTTTTCTTTTCTTTTCTTTTCTTTTCGAGAGAGTGTGCATGCGAGTGGGTGGGGGTGGGGTGGGGGGAGAGGGTGAGAAAAGCCCAAGCAGACTCCACACTGAGCGCAGAGCCCAGCGCAGGGCTGGATCTCCCGACCCTGAGATCACGACCTGAGCTGAAATCAAGAGTTGGACGCTTAACTGACTGAGCCACCCAGGTGCCCCATGATTTTTCTTTTTCTAAAATAATTTTTTGGCATGAAATTTACAGTAAATGAAGTGAACTTATTTCACAGTGAACAGTTCGGGGGCATTTAGTATGTTCACAATGTGGGCAACCACCACTCTGTCTAGTTCCAAAACATTTCCATCGTCCCTAAGTAAAGCCTCGCACCTATGAGACTGTCACTCCCCAAGCCCCTGGCAACCAGCCATTTGCTTTCTGCCTAGGAATTTGCCTGTTCTGGGAGCTTCTCTCTGTTTCATGGCTGAGTAGTATTTCCTTGATTGGTATGCCTCCCTTTGTTTATCCATCCATCTATGCATGGACATTCGGACTGTTTTCACCTTTTGGCTACATGAATAATGCTGCTGTGAATGTTTGCATGCAAGTATTAGTTTGAACACCTGTCTTCAGTTATCTTGAGTGAATGTCTAGGAGTGGAATTGCTGGGTCTAACTTCAGCTTTACCAGGATCTCCCGTGTTGCTGGATTGAGAAGAGACTGAAGGGGGGAAGGAGGTGTGGAATTGGGGAGACTGGCCAGAAGCCTCCTGTGCCAATTGGGCATGAGATGATGGTGACCCAAAGGGAAGTCTGGTGAAAAGTGGTCAAACCATGCGTCCTCATGGGGTGCCAGGGTGGCTCAGTTAGTTAAGCGTCTGCCTTCGGCTCAGGTCTGGGATGGAGCCCCGCATTGGGCTGAGTTTGGGAAGATGAGCAGGGAGCTCAGCGGGAAGCCTGCTTCTCCCTCTGCTGCTCCCCCTGCTTGTGCTTTCTCTCTCTCTGTCAAATAAATAAATAAAATTAAAAAAACAAAACAAAACACAAGCTTCATCATAAACCTGGAGCCAGTAGGATTTGATCTTGGACCAGATACAGTGTGTATGAAAGAGAGCAGAGTCCAGGATGGCACGAAGATTTTTTTTTTTTTTTTGGCACGAACAATTGGAGAGTAGAGATGAGTCTTATAGGAGGAGATGCGTGTGTAGCGGGGAGGAATGTCAAAAATCGTTTTGGACATCAGCGTGAAATGCCAGTTAGAACTGTGAGTGGAAAAGGCCAGGGAGGTTCATGTGAAGCTTATTGCTCATGTTCTAGAAAAAGTCATGGTAATAATGAACTACTCTCTAGGTCGATAAAGAAACCAACACAGAAGATGTCTTCCCAGAAGAAGTAGCGAGTCTTCCGAAGGAGAGGCCCAGCCGCAGGGCCCGCGGGTCGCCTTTCGTTCGGAGTAGCACAATTGTGCGTTCTCAGACCTTCTCCCCTGGAGCACGAAGCCAGTATGTTTGCAGAGTAAGTTGAAATTCCTTTGCCTCTTGACTGGAACGTTTTCTTTTTTCTTTTTTTTTCCCTTTGTCATGCTTTATTTTTACTGTTCATGCTGAAAGACCTTGTCTGTTCCCCCAAGTGCTGATAATGCGCACGCCGCATGGGGGGCTATGCGATCAGTATGGTGGCCCATCTACCCCTCGCCCGTGCATATCTCACTCTGGGTTTCTTCAAGATTCTGATACGTTTCTCCCCGGATTTTCAGTTTGTATGTGTACCAACTCGTGCGCGGGAAACTGGGCGAATAGGAGTAACAGGTTGGAACAGGGAATATCCTGAATTGGGTGGAGATTGTTAAGTCAGGCCCCTGAGTGGTTGGAAGTCCTGAAGTGTAGCTTAGCCGGGTCCCAGGGTGGACGGCAGCCTTGAAGACTCGGGGCACTGAGACAGGGTTCTGACCCCCCCCCCCCCAGCCCGTAAATTCTCACCCCAAGGGTGATGGCAGGAGACACTGCGTGGTTCTCAGCCTGGGCTGTACCGTGCAGTGGAGGCGGGCGCTTCACAGAATGCTGGTGCCTGGGTTCCACCCCCGAGATTCACTGTGGGTCAGGGTGGGGCCTGGACATCGGAGCTCGGGGAAGACCCCTGATGATTCTGATGCTGAGAACCCCGCTGTGGTCCTTGAGGACAGGACGGAGTTTGGAGGTTGGCCGGCAGTGGTGGTGTGACAGTGACAGGACGGATTAGGAAAGAGAAGGCAATGGGAAGGGTAAATGGTCATGACACAGTGGCCTGATGGGACTGTTTGGATCGAGGAGAGCTTTTGACCCTTCCCGCCTCCGAACTGGGCTCCCTTGACGGGCACTGCCAAGGAGCTGGCTCCGGTTTGGGCAAAACCAGAATTCGGTCATACGAGAGAAACGGGCTGAGACGTGTGCAAGAGACACCGGGAGTATGGTTCAGGGGTCCCCTGGCCCGTGCTCAGGGTCAGGAACTTGCTAGGACCCACAGAACTCGGCAAAGCCGTTAGATTCACTATTGTGGTTTATTACGGTGCAAGGATATAGACCAAGGTCAGCAGAGGGAAGAGGCACGTCGGGCAGCACTGAGGAGAGACCTGCCGCAGGCCTCCGGGTCTCTTCCAGCGGGATGGTGCGGATGGCTCTGGTCACCTGTCACTGCTGGGAGAGGCCGCACATGGAGTATTGCCAGCCTGGGGTTTTGTGGGAGGTTGGTCACACAGGCAGAGCTGACTGCCTGCATGCCTGGCCTTCGTCTCTAGAGGTCGAGCTGGTGGCCTAAGGCCCCCACTATAAGTCACATTGTTAGCAGAGACTGTGTAGCCTGGCTCGAGGTGCCCAGGTAAACAGACACTCAGGCAGGACATCCCAGGGGGTTACGGGTCACTTCCCAGGAGCTGGGCAAGGACCAAACCTTTCTTGGAGCAAGGTTAATCCTTTACCCCATGGCGGGAATGGGGGGCCCCAAGCTGCCCCTGGGTCATTTCCAAGACCTGCTGCGCGTCTCCTCCCCACAGAAGCCAGGTGTCCCGTCGTGGCTGCCCTGGGTCCCACGGCATCCGGCTCGGGCACCCCTGCCCCATGAGGCTGCAGCCCCGTGGGGGGCTCATGCTTAACCAGACACCTACCTGGAGGCGCTAGGCCCAGGGCTGCCCTCAGCTCCCTTCCCCGCTGTGGGCTGTTGCCGACCCACCACCGAGTGGGGCTCGGGTCCGCTGGGTCAGAAGGGCGGTGCGTGAAGGAGGAAGCCCTCTGCTTTCCCAGAGGAAGGTTTCCGGCTCCTGTGCCGGGTTCTGTGCCCTGCGTGAGAGCCTGCGTGTCCGGGGGATGCTGGTAGAGGCTCAGCCTTCGTCTGTCGGGCACGATGGAGTGAGGGCGCATATACGCCGCCGTGCCACGGCGTTTCCGGACTATTTGGGGTTAGTTGGCGTGGAAAAGAAGGCCACGAAGGCAGGGACTTTGCCTTTCCCACAGATACGCATTGATCTGGAAGCAAGAGCCCGCCGCCGAAGGGCTTGGCTCCCGTAAAGGAGGTGTTACTTATTTGTCATTTTAGACGCAGACCTTTTCCCTTGACTGCCAGAGTGGGCCGTAGTGGTGCTGGCTTGTCCTCCTACCAGGAGCGGGGTCTCTTTTTGGAAAGTCACTTTGCCCCAGCTCTTGGCAAAGCCAGGAACAGAGTGAATGAAGGGCGTTGTCACGTGAAGGGCGGTGGGGGGTCGGTTTGCGTATGTGGTCTGTTCTGGCTTGTCTTTAGTTTTACTCGACGCTTGGCGTCGGGAACGTCGCGTCCTCACTGAGACCGGAAAGCTTGGTAGGGGTGCCAGCCGTCGTCCGCGCGTTCGGGGACCCGCGAGGAGGAGCGAAATCCCGCAGTTCAGCTACACAGAGAGAATGAAGGTTGCACTTCTGAGAAAGTGTTTCTGAACATCATTCTTTTTGGCACAGCTTTATCGTAGTGACAGCGACAGTTCGACACTGCCCCGGAAGTCCCCGTTTGTCCGAAACACCCTGGAAAGACGGACCCTTCGCTATAAGCAGGTGCGTGCCGCGTAAACTAATACAGAGCCTGGACTTACCCTGGGAGCTATCTTTACAGAACTCCTAAGGTAATATTTTAGGTAACATTAATTTAAAGGTAATATGTTTTTTTTTAAAGGTATTGATTTCCTTGTTTATTGAGATACGATTTTTAGAAGCCTATATAATGTCAAAATGTTACCACTCTTAATTTCCTAGGATAACATCATGATCTAAGATAATTCATGATCTTTACATTTTTAAATATAATAGATTAACAAACAGCCAACCAACCTATAAAAAAGATTCTCTTTTGACGAGGGAGTATGTACAGTTGAGAAATTGGTGCTTTTCAGCATAGAGCAGTCTTCTACAAAGGCCTGTCCTGCTGCTTGCATTCACTTTACCCACCGAGTGTTTTCTCCACATGGCGTCAGTTTACAGAGTTTTGCTGCTTTCTGTTTGTAAGCGAGTAGTTCCTTGTCTTTTTCAGGCTAAGATTCTTTTAAAGAGATAGTAGTGGATCCAGCTGTCCGTGTGGTGTGGTGCCTGTGTTTAGAGCACTGTTGACACCTCGGACTGGGTCACTGTTGTGGGGACCGCCCTGCACGCCCCCCCCCCCCGCCTTGTGACGGCCAAACGTGTCTCCAGACACTGCCTAGCGCCCCCTGGAGGGCCAAGCCATCCCTGGTTGAGAACCGCCGAGCTCTACTATGAATTGAGCAGTGCTTTTAAGTGAACTTGTATTTCTTAAATCATACCATATCTTTGCATTCCAGTTCCGTACGTGGGCAGAATAGTGTCACATGCGTGTAAAAAGCCTACAGTTTTCCAGCCCACTGAACAACGCTGGTGTGTGTTACACTAACTGCCTTTCCTGAGGTCGTTTCCTGTTGGATGGGAAATACTTTTCTCAGTGCGACACAAAGAAGTCTTCTCTCATCTTAGGACTTTTCTTAAACATGGCAGGTTTGCTTCCTTGAGGCTTATATGGGGAGGAAAGGTTTTGACAGCTTGTGTGTGTGAATGTATAATCTTAAACAAAAAGTACTCAGATGGTTTACGACATGCTTTTCCCCCTTTATACCATGGATCATTTAAGATTTTCCAATATATTTTTTCTACTTTTTACAGTCGCTGTGTTTTATGCTGACCTTATAATTCACTTAATCCATTTTCTCTTGTTATATATTTAGGTTTTCTCTGTCCTAAACTTGAATTGGATCACTTTTGCATGTCGTGAGTAGTGCCTTTCAAAGGCAAGTCAAAATGAAATTTCAGAACCAAAGAAAATGCACATTTTGTGGCTTGATGTGTATTTTCAAGTAGAACTTCAGAAAGATTGTACCCATTTTTTATTTATTTACTTGTAAGTTTATACCCGTTTTTGACCCCACCAGCTCCATATGGGATGGTCTCTTTCTCCACACTTTCGCAAATGCACGGGTCACCATTAAAGCAGACCATTAGCGTCACTAACTTGATATTGAACTGGAGACTTATTAATCTCGCCCAAATCTGTTTGACACCGGCCACGTGTAGAGAGACACCCGTCCGCCTTCGTTGCAGAAGGACCTCGCAGACGGCCGAGCTCACTGGCTGCGCGGCGCCCTGATGCCGGCTCAGCGTGTGTGCTCACAGCTGCCATCTCCCGCAGCCCTGCAGGTCCTCCCTGGCCGAGCTCATGGCCCGCACCTCCCTGGACCTGGAGCTGGATCTCCAGGCCTCCAGAACGCGGCAGAGGCAGCTGAACGAGGAGATCTGCACCCTGCGTGAACTGAGGCAGCGCTTAGAAGATGCGCAGCACCGGGGCCAGACAGACCTCCCCCACTGGGTGCTGCGGGACGAGCGATTCCGGAGCCTGCTGAAGGAAGCAGAGAGGCAGGTAAGAGGCCGGGGCCCTGCCTGGAGGGGCCTGCCACGGAGTCCCTCTGGCGTCCCGGGCCCGCCTGGTCATGATGATGGAGCTGTACCGTAAACACTCCGAGTGCTCGTCTGAAGGAGCTGGGTTTCTCTCTCCGTGGGCCAGGCAGCTGGTGTTCCCAGTGGCACCAACAGCTGCCTCAGGTGGGGGGCTGCTGGAGGGAAGGATCCCCAGACCCTCCTGCTGGCATGGCCACCCTCTGCTCTGTAGTGGAATGTTCTGGGTCCGGTGTCTGCCAGGCATGACCCCAAGGACCCCAGTAGCTCCTGTGAAGATTCCCTGTAGCAGGCGTGTGTGTGGATGGGGCAGGCCTTTCTCCCCTCGGGAGCCCAGGGCTGGGAGTAGCTTTGTTCCTTTTTCCTTAAAACTAGAAGTAAAAATGTCTCATTCATCCAATGGTGCCGTTCCAGACAAGACAGACCAAACTTGACTTCCATCAAGAACAGGCAGCTGAGAAGATGCTGAAGAAGGCCTCCAGAGGGGTCTGCCAGCTGCGTGGGCAGAAGCGCAGGGAGCCCGTCCAGGTGCAGACCTTCAGGTAGGGAAGGCCGCAGGCCCACTTCCTCGCTTCCCTTTTATACTGTCATACCTTTGTGGTCATAAAAAGTAAAGTGAGTATTTAAAAAACCCATGGGCAGTTCAGAATAAAACCAGAATCCCCACTGCTGTTAGCATTTTGACTTTATCTTCTTTTGATCCTTTTTGGTTCTGGTTTTGTTCATGCTGCTTGTCATCATAATGTGGGTTCGAGTTTGCATTTTGCTTTTTTTTAAATAAAAGTATCCTGTGTTTCCACATAATCTGTTGTCTTTTTTGGCTGTAATGTTTCATCTAAGATATAATTTGCCTAACTACTATATTTTATAACCTTCTTTCCAAATATTTGCTATTGTGAACAACACAGTGGTTTACATATATATATTCACACGTATCACCTTTGCCTTTTTACTTAACTTTTTATTGAAGCATAACAGACACACAGGAGAGCGTGCATTTTGTACGTATGAAAGTTCGGTGAGACGTCACAACTCCTCATGGCAAGAATTGAACATTATCGGCGCCCCCCGCCCTTGATTTCCCACACCGGAATAACCACAGTTTTGAATTTGAATGTCATACGTTAGTTTTCCCTGTTTTTGTTTTTCGTATGAGGAGAATTAACAGCGACATCTATATTCTTTTGTGTCTGACTTTTTAAAAAATCGAGGCGAAATTCACATGGCATACAAGTCACTGTTTTAAAGTGAGTGACTCGGGGCACCTGGGTGGCTCAGTCGTTGGGCGTCTGCCTTCGGCTCAGGTCAGGATCCCAGGGTCCTGGGATCGAGCCCCGCATCGGGCTCCCTGTGCTCGGCGGGAAGCCTGCTTCTCCCTCTCCCACTCCCCCTGCTTGTGTTCCCTCTCTCGCTGTGTCTCTCTCTGTCAAATAAATAAATGAAATCTTTAAAAAAATAAATAAATAAATAAATAAAGTGAGTGACTCCATGGCGTTTAGTGTAGTCACAGTGATGTGGAACCGCCCCCTGTCCAGTTCCAGAACATTCCTTCACCCCAGAAGGAAACCCCATCCCCATGAAGTAGCCACTCCCCGTTTCGCCCTCCCCACAGCCTCTGGCCCCCACCAGGCCGCTTTCGCTCTCTCTGGCTTTGCCAGTTCTGGGCGCTCCATGTAAGTGGAGTCCTATACCGTGTGATCTTTTGTGCCTGGCTGCTTTGACTTAGGATAATGTGTTCGAAGTGCATCTGTGTTGTAGCGTGTGTTAGAACCTCAGTCCTTTTTATGGCTGAATAATATGTGTCTTTTAGCCTTAATTTTTTTATACCCTGAATTTTCACATCCCCATCATAAAGGAACCTACAACACTGTAACTGTCTTCCTTCAGTCATGATTTAGAACTCCTTCATTTGTATAGCTTTTCATATTCATTCGTTAATAAAGCCAATATTTGTAGAGCACCTACTATATGGCAGGCACTGCAGACAAACCCTTGCCCTCATGGGGCTTCCTGACGTCTGTTAAAATTCGGAGAATCCGTACACAGACAGATGTGTTGTTAGGAATTGAAGTTCAATTTTTTTGTATGAGTAAGAGAAGCTGTCATTGATATGAGAGCTTTCATTGCATTTATATCCACTTCTAACCTGTAATTCTTTCCAATCCCAGGGAGAAGATAGCATTTTTTACAAGACCAAGGATTAACGTACCTCCGCTGCCTGCCGACGATGTTTGATATAGTGCTTTGTACACATGAAGTATTTATCTGCCTGGTTTATTTTCATGAAGTTCTTAGACTAGCTAAATTTGTCCTTAAAATATTTGTGCAAAGCTATTAATATACACACTTTGTAAAAAACACACACATATATCTATACATATATATTTTATAATAGTGACGGCAACAGGGCTTGGTTTTTCCTTGTTGTGAAATTGACATCTCTGAAGACAGGTTATTTTATAAAAGATCAACTATCGTGTTAAGAGTGTACAGTTTTTACGCTGATTTATTTGACTTAAAGGCTGGAAGACAGAAACAAAGTGAGTTCAGGCAAATTCACTGTATTGTAATTTATTTATAGTACTTTTTTTTCCTTGAAGGAAAATACTGACTTTAAGATGTATTTTAAGACTAAAATTTTGTGCTTCAGTATTTGTCATGCAGTAGAATGGAACTTTGGGGCCGGTTTTGTTTCTGACGCCCAAAACGCAAACACTCTGCTGAATTCGTCACTTGTATCAGTTTCCGATATGTGTATTTACCGTGTATCTTGTACACTCCGCACTCTGCGTTCGCTTCTGATCCCACCCGCAGCGGCCCCAGGGGCCGCTCACCTGCCGCGCGTGCGTTGCCGAGCTGTCTCCCATGCGGACTGCGCACCAACAGCCTCTCCTGTTGTCTTGTGCGTCTTTGTGTGCTCACTGGGAGTCTGAGGCAGGCCCCCGGCCTTCAGCCTGCCTGTCCAGCGTGGCTGGCCACACTGCCTGCCCTCACCAGACCACAGGCAGCCCCCGCTTTGAGTCTTCCCCATCCGATCATGACCAGCGAGGCAGCGTGGAGCTCCTGCACTATGACTCTGTCATGAAGGGAAGTGACGAGAACTAGGAGCGCGTGTTTTCAGAGAATCCTTGAGTCCACGGATGGACGTAGCGCTTATAACGTAGACATGATGGCCTTTGAAGGCGCTTGTTTGTGGAAGGAGGCAAGCATGCGTGGGTAACGGCAGTTACCCAGTGAGTCACTGACAGAGTATTTGATTTAAATCAAACTCCGCCCCCCCCCCCCATACTGGAGTCTACCCAGTATTTCCTAAGAAATCTTAGAAGTAGTTCTTGAGGGGAAAAAATTTTATGTAATAAAATGTAATAAAAATATACCATTATTCTTTTAAAATGTCAAATGATCTAAATATTTTGCCAAACGCCTATTTATTATATATGAAATGCACTCGCCCTTCCGAGGCCTCAGACAAGTAAGCGAGGTGGGTCACACGAACCGTACAAGAAGACAGAACTCTCTTCCTAGATCTTTCTGCCCCTCCCTGGGAAATGCCCACCTTGAATCAGGGTCTCTCTCTCTCTCCTCATTAGTCTGTAACCGCCCCCTCGTATAACCTGCCTGCCTTTTTACATTGTTAAAACTGAATTTTGTAGAAGCGTTTCATTGACACGGGGCCTGTCACAGACGGGGTTTGTCCCTGGCGCCAGGACTGAAGACACCGCGCTCTCACAGCACACAGCTCTAGCTTTCTCTTTCTGCCTCTAGTCGCGCTGCTTCTTGTTGGCTAATTTCTCTGGGTACGTAACCCCCAACAGAGGTAGAGATGCGCCAAGTCCCAGAGCTTGCCAGAACGGCCCCCCCCAGCAGAGCGCATTGCCAAGCAGGTGAGGACAATGGCAGGCCTTCTCTGTGCCCCCAGCTGATGATACCTTTAACTCCAAAGAAGAACTGCCACCAGACTTGGGCGTGTGGAGGGCAAATCATGCACCTCTCAGGCGCCCTGCTCCCTGGCTACAGAAAGGTCCCCGGGAACCGTTGCCTGGTGGCTGCTCCTTAGCACCTGCCACGTGGAGCGCTCTCTGCATGGGATGGGGGCTCGAGGCAACTTTTCTGCCGACCCCTGTTAGCAGCAACGGGGCGGGGGGGCATCCACTGTGCCAATACAGAAGGCCCTCCACCCAGGGGTTTCAATTAACTTCACTGCCCAGTAGATCTAGGCTTCTGTCTGGGGTGCTTCCCCCGCCCCCCACACCCCAGAGTTTGGTTGTGTGTGTGTGAGTTTTGTTTTGTTTTGTTTTGTTTTGTTTTAAAAAAAGCTCTTTGCCCCACCAGAAACAAATACAGTCCCTACTCCAGTGGCAGTCCGAGGAGTACTTGGATTTGCCACCAGATTGACTTCTAATTGACTTCTCCCGCCTCCCTGCAAGGGTCTGCCTTTGCACCCAAATGGGACCAGAGTGAGCAGGAGAGAAAAGCCAGACAGATGGGGGAGGGAGAGGGTGATGGGTTCTGTGCCGCTCGCCGGCCGGGCTGACAGCGCCCGTGGACAGCGACACAGCCGAGCCGGCAGCGGGCAGACAGAAGTCCCATGATTGGCTTCTCTCTCCCGACCTGGTTTTGCAGCTTCTTTCTAGTGAAGACTGCCACCCCCCAGCGAATAGCCCACACGTCGGAAAAGTGAAGTCCTGTTGTCGGAAGGGCTGTTTCCATCTTCTGTTTGAATTTGCCCATAACCGTGCTTTGGGATAAGAAAGCTGCCGTGTTTGACCAGCACTTCCGGCCCAGAGACAATCCCAAGTCCGCCACCAGGATTCTTTAGAAGCAGTGCAATGAGTCAAAGGGAATTTGGTCTTCACGTCATCCGATCACTAAATTGTCACTGCTGAAATAAGTAACCTCCTGTCGTGGGAATAAGTTATAATCAGTATTCATCTCTGTTTTTGTCACTCTTCCCTAATTGGGTCATTTGTATTGTTTGAAAGTATTCCTTCTATAAAATTAAACTAATCTGCCTTAAGAACAGAATGGAAATGTGTGGTTTTTTTTTTTTAAGAAAAATGTAAATACATGGACTTAAATATATAAGAATATACCAATTTTTTCGGGGCTTCTGGGTAGCTCAGTCGGTTAACCGTCTGACTCTTGGTTCTAGCTCGGGTCATGGTCTCAGGGTCGTGAGATCGAGCCCTGTGTCGGGCTCCGTGCTCGGTGTGGAGTCTGTTTGGGATTCTCTCTCCCTCTGCCTCCACCCCTCCATCCCCCGTGCATGTGATCTCTCTCTAAATAAATCTTTTTTTTAGAAGTACTGCTTTTTTTTAACATAAAAACAAAGATACAAAAGAATAGTAAAACGAACACACATGCAGCCCTCCCCCCTCTCAACATGGATCAGTCATGGCTGACTGTTTGGTCTACACCCCTACCTGTCTCCCTTCCTGTGTTTCAAAGCAAATCCCATACACCTTCTCAGTTCAGCTGTAAATACTTTCAGTATGTATTGCTAAAAGAGAAAAGCATGCACGGAATCCTCACATTTTAACATTTAATAACTTCTAATGTCGTTAAATATCCAGGGTTCACTTTTCCAACTGTCTCATGTGTCATTTTTTCACTGAACAGAATCCAAATATATATTTATTGGGATTTTTTATGCCTATGGGGTTTTTTTGGTAACAGTTCTCTTGAGATAGAATTCACATACCATATAGTTCACCTGTTTAAAGCATGTAATTTGTCAGTTTTGGGGATATTTGTAATTATGCAGGTGTCACTACAATCAATTGTAGAACTTTCTCATCACCCCAGAAGGAAACCCCGGACCCATTAACAGTCACCCCCAATTCTCCCAACCCCTGGCAACCAACTAACCTGTTTCCTGGCTCTGTGGATTTGTCTATCCTGGATATTGCATATAAACGGAATCATGCAATATGTAGCCTTTTGTGTCTGGCTTCCTTCTTCAGCGTTGGGTTCCCCAGGTTCATCCATGTTGTAGCCGGTGGCAAGACTTCATTCCTTGTTACTGCTGAAGAATAGTCCATTGTGTGGATAGAGCACATTTTGTGTATGCATTCATCAGTCGATGGACATTTGGGTGGTTTCCACTCTTTGGGTGATATGAATAATGCTGCCACCATCATTCATGTTCAAGTTTTTGTGTGGATGTATGTTTTCATTTCTCTTCGGCCTAAAGCTAAAGGTGGAATTGTTGGGTCAGACGGTAACTCTGTGGTTAACCTTTTGAAGAGCTGCCAGGCTGTTCGCCCAAGCAGCTGCACCAGTTTCCATCCCCACCAGCAATGCACGAGGGTTCTAATTTCTCCACATCCTGACCAACACATGTCCATTTGATCGTGGCCACCCGTGTAGGCGTGCCGTGGTACCGCATTGTAGTTGTGTCTGTCTTCAATCTACAGGATCTATAGTAACACAGCAGGGTAATTTGTTGAAGAAACAAGACTGCATGTTCTCAGAGCCTCCCATGTTCTGGGTTTCGCTGGTTGGCTCCCTGTGGTGGAGCTTAACATGTTCCTGGGAATTCTGTTTCCAACGAATAAATACTGGGGGGAAAGCTGTTGTTGAATCTAGAAGCTTGATCAGATTCCAGTTCATTTCCTTCCCTTTTTGGGGGGAGGGGCAGGGAACGGGTGGCGAGAATTCCTATGTTCACCCATCAGGTGACTTACGATATCTTTTTTTTTTTAATGTTTGAAACTTGGCAATCAATGCCTAGATCCATTAACTCACTAAGGTTGCACAGTGATGATATTCTAATTCTATTAATTTTTGAAAACTTACTTTGAAATACCTTTATAAAGAGAAACCCATCTATTTGGTTACCCAGTGGTACAGTTTGGGTAAACCAAGATAGATGCTTAATTTGTTTCTTTATTGACCAGTTTTGAAAATAATGAATTATTGGGGCGCCTGGGTGGCGCAGATGGTTAAGCATCTGCCTTCGGCTCAGGTCATGATCCTGGGGTCCTGGGATCGAGCCCCGCATCGGGCTCCCTGCTCGGCAGGAAGCCTGCTTCTCCCTCTCCCACTCCCCCTGCTTGTGTTCTCTGGCTCTTCTCTATCCCTCTCTGAGGTAAATAAAATCTTTAAAAAAAAATACTTAAAAAAAACCAAAATAATTATTTTCCTAGCACTCTACAGCGGTGACCAATTTGGTTTTGGTTTTTGAAAAAAAAATTTTTTTTGAGTATCATTATCATGAACACACAATTTAAATATGTTTGGTGTGGGGGCGCCTGGGTGGCTCAGTTGGTTAAGCGACTGCCTTCGGCTCAGGTCATGATCCCGGAGTCCCGGGATCGAGTCCCGCATCGGGCTCCCTCCTCGGCGAGGAGCCTGCTTCTCCCTCCAACCCTCCCCCCTCTCATGTACTCTCTCTCTCTCATTCTCACTCTTAAATAAATAAATAAAATCTTTAAAAAAAAAATAAATAAATAAATAAATAAATATGTTTGGTGTGCTTTAATCCATTGGAGTTGTCCTTATTGATGCTTAAATTCTCCTGTCTTTGGCTGGGGGGGAACCTCTCCTGGTTGGCTCCTGGGTCCTTTTTCGTGTGCCCCCGGGGGTCTGAGCTGGCTTGCTTGCTAGCCCGCATGACCACACGTTTCTGACCTGGAAATGGGCATTTCTCCAGGGAGGCTTCATACTAGTTGCTACTGGGCTGGTCGTTGTTTTTAGGCCTTTTAAATAGATAATATTTTCTTTCTTTTCTTTTTTTTCCGGATAAAGGGATGACGATGTCACATAAT